GCGTGGCTCCGACAGCATCCGTCAAAGTGGAAGACGTTCGTCGCGAATAGAGTCGCGGAGGTGCAGGGCCGGCTGCCGGGCGTCGAGTGGCGGCATATTGCGACCGCCGACAATCCGGCGGATTGCGCGTCGCGCGGTCTCCTCGGAGGCGAACTTGTGTCTCATCCCTTGTGGTGGCAAGGGCCGTCGTGGCTCATGCTTTCGTCGGACCTCTGGCCGACCGACTCAGAGGAGTTGCCTGCCGACGCTCCTCTTGAGACAAAAAAACACTCGCTTCTAATAAATCGAACTACCAAGTCGTGGGATCTCGCGGAGAAATTCTCGTCATGGCCTAAGCTCATTCGCGTAACCGCGTACGTTCTCAAATTTGTTTCATGCTGTCGACGATCCGCCGTTGCAACCGATTCCGGTCGAGTACCCGGCATAACGCTTTCCGCGCGTGAATTCGACGATTCCCGATTCTTCTGGCTCAAGCAGACTCAACGCGAACTATTTGCTAGCGAGCTTCGAGAACTCAGTCAAGGGCGAGGGCTCCCCTCAAGAAGCTCGCTCCTCTCGCTGGGGCCATTTATCGACAATGAAGGGCTGCTGCGGGTTGGCGGACGACTTCAAAACGCGGCCAACGTTTTAACTTCGCGTCACCCGATCTTGCTCGCTGCGCATCCGCTCGTTACGTTGATCATAAGACACACTCACCTGCGCGCCTTGCACGCGGGGTTGCAGCTCACCTTGAGCACGCTTTGTCGCGAATATTGGGTACTTCGCGCTCGAACTATCGTCAAATCGATCATACATCGTTGCGTCGCTTGCGCACGCGAGCGCGCCGCCGTGCCGACCCAGCTGATGGGCAGTTTGCCGATCACCCGCGTGACTGCTCCGTCTCGCAGTTTTTTGCATTGCGGCATCGACTACGCCGGACCCGTCGCAGTGCGCGCTTCTGCCGACCGCGGCATTAAATCCATCAAAGCTTACATCGCACTATTTGTATGCTTAGCGTCTCGCGCTGTCCATCTCGAACTAGTATCCGACTACTCGACTGCAGCATTTCTTAACGCTTTCGCTCGATTTTGCGCTCGCCGTGGATTGCCACAATCTGTGTACTCGGATAACGGCACGAACTTCGCCGGCGCAAACCGAGAGCTGCACCTAGCATACCGAACTGCATTACGCGACCCTGATCTCCAAGGTCGACTCGCCTCAGATAAAATCGACTGGCATTTCATCCCGCCCTCCACGCCGCATTCCGGCGGCATCTGGGAAGCCGGGGTTAAAAGCGTCAAGCACCATCTGCGTCGGGTGCTTGGCGATCACACGCTCTCGTTCGAAGAATTTTCGACGTTACTGTGTAAAATCGAAGCGTGTCTAAATTCGCGTCCGATCGCCCCGCTCTCAGACACTATTGACGATTGCGACAGCCTCACGCCAGTCCATTTTTTAATCGGTTCGGCAATAACCACCCCGCCGGAACCGTCTGTGCTCGACCTGCGCGCGAATCGGATCTCAAGGTGGCAACTCCTCCACCAACTAACTGAACGATTTTGGCGACGGTATAACGATTACGTTAACACGTTGAATCAGAGAGGTAAGTGGCGACGAGTGCAGCAGTCAATTCGAGAGGGAACTCTCGTTCTTTTGCGCAACCCTAATCTCCCCCCGTGTAAATGGGAGCTCGGAATGGTTATTCAATGCCACCCTGGCCCGGACGGACTAACTCGCGTTGTCTCCGTAAAAACGGCGACCTCTCAGTTCACCAGGCCTATCGGAAAAGTTTGTGTCCTGCCGATCGACTGCGATGCGACACCCTGCGGCGAATCGGGTCCGAACAATTTGATTTGCGAGCGTGAATCATAATTGCGTGCGTCAATTCGAGTTGCTTGCGTCAGCTTCTCGTCAAGTTAATTTTAGTTATAGAGCATCGTTTTTGTGCCACTCCATATTTTCTTGCATTTTCACCGCGGGTCTTCTGCCCCGCTGGAGGTCTCTCGAACAATCTGTCCTCGCTGCTTAATTGAAGTCGTCGCTTCAAGGCGGGCGGCATGTTCGAGATTCAAACAAATTCGACGGTTAACCTCACGTCAGCGGGGACCGGTGACCGCTGCGGCAAGCATTCATTTGAAACCAACATAATTCGATGCTCTAATTCGGCACACAAGCGACTCACTTTGTCCT